CACATGTGACAATATAAAAGTATTTATAGCAGGCTATGTGACTTTGTTTTTTCAAGTCCGGCTTGTAACATTTCCTGTGTATTATCTTCCTACCACAAGCTAACCACATCTTCCACTTTAATGAAAATTTAATTTCTTAACTGATTACCTAGAAATAGCTGCTTCCTAAAACAATTGTAGCTTCAGAATTTCTCTTTTTATTTTATTGTGAGACCACTAACTGGTCCCTAATTTCTAAAGTTACTGAGAACTCTGCTGACAAACACCCTCACACTCTAAGGTCCCTCTGCTTTCTGCTTTTGACTCCTAACCATCCCCTGCAGGCAGGGTGGGCAGGTTTCCTTCAGCACCATCCCCAACATAAACTGTGGCAGTTAGAGAAGGACAGGGCCTTCCTTAGAAACACGGACTCCCGTGTTGTGTGTGGGAACTTGCTGGAGATGTGGACTATCCGGGCCCATCCCAAACAGGTAGTGACACTGTGTAGGTGGGCTCCCTAATCTGTAAACAGCCTCCCAGTGATTCTGGTCCTGGTGCAGTTTGAGCACCATTGGAATAAATGCTTCCAGCACTCCCCAACAAAATCCAGAGTTTCCATGTCAGGGAACTTATGGTTACTTCTCATAAATAGTTACATTAGGGAGTCAAATGGTGGCTTTGTAAAGAGAAAGCAGTGGTGAGGATACAGAAAGTGAACTTTTGCATGTGTACTATTGAAAGCAGGATATATTGGTCAAATTGGGTTTGTATAGTGAAATGCTGTGCAGCCACTGAACAAGCTGGATGATGTGGCACACACCTGTAATCCCAGTATTGGGGGGACGGCTGAGACACGAAAATAACAAGTTCAAGTTAATCTGTATGCATTCAATTTGGGGGGGCTAGGAGTGTTTGAAACATCTGTGTAATCTAGGCTGACCTTGAACTCACCGTGATCTTCCTGCCTCAGCCTTCCAGGTACCCTGTTACAGACATAGACCACCATATCCAACTAGCATTAACATTTTTAAAAGCTCAAGGGATAATGGGAACAGGAGGGACATATCCCAGCACAAGTATGTCCCAGAGAAAGTGCAAAGTGCCTATGTGTGTGTATTTGTGTCATTGGAGGTTTGGGGAAAACTACTTTAGAAGCTGTTTGTAGTTGTTGACAGTTCTTATAAAGTTTTGCTTTATCTTTCATAGTTTACTTTTAATATTAATTTCAATTACTAGTATTTACTTTTATCCATTTGCCTTTTGCTTTTAAAACAATTTAGCCATCACAAAGTTCGGGCTGGGACTTGAATTTGCAATCCTCCTGTCTCAGCCTCCTGTGCTAGGATTGTGGGGGTGGTATTCCTTCTTTACTTCTTTTATTTAGTGCTGAAACTGAACACAGTTAGGACCTCATATATGCTAAGAAAGCACTGTACCACTGATTTACACTGCCAGCCCCATAGAAGAATCATAAATCATGTTTTATGGCCAGGGAAATAGCTCTTTGGTGGTACGATTACCTAAGTACCCAGACTCAAGGTCCAGTTCTACTAAAACTAACAGCAACAACAAAAAGGATATATTTAAATTCTTTTTTTAAAAAAACCAATATTGGGCTGGAGATTTAGCTTAGCAGCATGAGCGCCTGCCTGGCAAGCGCTAGGTTGTGAGTTCGATCCCCAGTACCAAAAATAAAAAATAAAAATCCCCCCTATTAATCCTTATTCTCTTTTAAATTAAAGATTTTTTTTAAAAAATAGGGTTTCCCTATATAGTTCAATCTGGCCTTGAAATCACTGTATCCCAGGCTGGCCCCAGATTCATGACAATCTTCCTACTCTGGCCTCCCAAGTGCTGGGTTGTGATATTTTTAATATTTAGTCCATTCACTTGAAATGTAGTGTCATAAACTTTACTTGAGATTTTTTTCTCTGACAACAGCTGTCAGGGAATTAGAGTGATTTCATTTTTTGGTCAGTAGATGGCAGTCCTCTCTCTGCAGCACAATGCAACTTGTCAAAATTATCTTTCTTGTGTGGTATGCTATTTTTTTGTTTGCTTGTTTGTTCCTTTGTTTGTGATATAGTTCTACTGAGTTGCCGGGGCTGGGCTCAAACTTGTGATCCTCCTGTCTCAGCCTACCAGAGTGCTGGAATTATAGGCATGCACCACCAAGCCTGGTTTATTGTGTACTCTTACGTTAACTCTTAGAGTTGCTTAAACCGTTTAATTATAATATGCGAAAATATAAATCAAGGATGCAAACTTTCAGTCATGACAGACTTAATGCCGCTTGTCTGGTTTTTCCATATGCTGTGTATAGTCCTCGTTCTTAAGGCGTTACTAGGTTACAGAAGTGCTTACAGTTGATGAGAGGTTGCTTACTGTGTTTGGCAAGTTCCTTCTTACAAGGAGGAGGAAGGAGATGACGGTGCCTGCAAGATCCTTCCTGTCCTCGTTGTTTCTCCCTCACAGTGTGTCCCATCACAGCTGACACGCTTATCTCACCTCAAATGTCCTGTCATTTGAGAGCTAGGTGGGGGAGAGGATTAGGAGGACCTTAATCTAAGCCAGGCCCACGCCTGTGGTTGGGAGTTGCAGGGCCGAGGCAGCAGGATCGAGCCCACAAGTTGGAGGACAGCCTGTGCCAGCACAATGAAATGCTCCCTCCCCAAAAAGCCAGTTCTGTGAGAAAAAAAGTTACTGGCTACAGGATAGCAGGTTGAAATGTTGCAAAATAACAACTCACCGGTGTCACTAAACAGAGAAATAAGGAGACCACATTGGTACTAGAACTAGAAAAGAAGTAGAAACATCCCCCTTGGTTGAGTCTGAGTCTGTACTTACGAGCAAATACATTCTGCATAATTATTCAACCTTAACACAGTCCAGCCTAGTAGTTACAATTTTCTGTTAACCTCTTTAGGAACTTTAAGTCTTATGTTTCCGCTTCCTTTGAAGCTTTCTAGTAAAGTTTTGGGTAAAATTACTCCTTTGTAGTTGTAAATGTTTTACTTTGTTCTTGGTTTTTGGTGGTGCCAAGGAATTGAATATATATGCTGAGCAAGTGTGCTTTACCACTGAGCTGCTTCCCCAGCCCTGATAAAGTTTTTATCTCTTTCCAAGTGAGATACTTGATTTGTGCACAGCTTCATTTTTCTATACGTAGGCCTCTGCATCCAGCGGTTCCACATCCCTGGATTCTGCATCCTTGGAGTCAGCCATGGATTGAAAAAAAATTGCCTTTTACTGAACATGTAGGTTCTTTTTATTGTCATTATGCCCTAAGCAATGCAGTGTGATAGCTGTTTATATAGCATCTATATTGAAAGAGGTATTTTAAGTAGCCAGGCATGGTACCATAATCCCAGCATTCTGGAGACCTAGGCAAATGGGTCACCACAAGTTCAATGCCAGCATAAACTACACAGTAAGAACCTGTTTCAAAAACAGTTTAAAAATACAGGTATATAAATAATCTAGAGGTGATTTAAGGCATGTGAGAGGTTGAACATATTTTGTATGTCAGCACTGTACCATTTTGTATAAGGATTTTAAGCATCGTCAGAATTGGGTATTTAAGAGGATTGTGGAACCAATTCCCTTTGGACACTGAGGGATTGGACACTCATGTGTTCGTGTGTGTGTGATTTTTATCATGTAGGACAGGAAAATAAGTGCTGCATGAGTGTCTTGTGTTCTGGATGTTTTCCTAAGTATTGTGGTTTTTTGGTGCTGATACATAGTGTCTTCTTAACATATGATGTAAGCTGTGATTCCGCACTAGATAATCATGTAAGGGAATGAAATTGTTTAGCATCTATTAAATCCTTGCTTTAAATCTCACCCTGCCACATTATGATTTATTCCTAGATAAATGCCCACCCCCAAAACTGGGATTTGAACTCAGGACCTTCACACTGAGCTACATTCCAAACCTATCCACCCTTGTTTAAAATTTTGAGATTGGGTCTCACTACATTGCTATATTACCCAGGCCAGATTTAAATTTGATAACCCTCCTGTCTCAGCCTCCTAGAATGCTGGGATTATAGGTATCCACCACCATACCTGGCTAAAATACATTTCTAAGGCCTAGTTGCAGTTACCTAGGATGGAAATTATTCTCTTAAATAGTCTCCTGTCCCTTGCCTCCTTTAAGATATTAAGAATAAATTCTACTGCGTGTGGTGGTGCATGCCCCGGCTGAGGCAGAAGGGATGCCAAGAGATCAAGGCCAGCCTGGACTACATAGTGAGACCCTGTCTCCAAAAAAATAAATAAATAAAAGAACAAACAGTATGTTCTGCGTGGGCACAGTGATACGCACCTAGAACTAGCACACTAGAAACGGCCTGGTCCCTGCGTGCCAGCGGTAGTCACTGAGTGTGGTTACAAGATGAAGGCCCTACATATACCATTATTTCTTTTTTAGTTACTAAGCTTCAATTTCAAAGCAATCATAGGAGAAACAGGTTATTACCAAACATTAGGCTTCCACGTGTTTGGCTCATTTTGGAACCCCTCTTATAACTCAAAACATTCACGTGATTCACTCTAGCAGTCGGAAAATTAGCTCTGCTGGTCTACCTAGGGATTTCCATTGGTGTGACTCAGCTTTAGGGGATCCTTAATTACTAAGGTAACAGTTATGAACCATCTGAATCCAGTTGTGGAGCATACCTGTTATCCCAGCTGTTCGGAAACCTCAGGCAGGAGGAGCGTTAGTGGGCAATTAATGATACCTTAATTCAAAACAAAAAATCAAAGTGTCAGGGATGTAGTGCAGTGTGTGGCCTGGGTTCCATCCCCAGTATTTTAAAAGAAAAACCTGACCATAAAGGTTTTTGAAGGTCATTCTCTGATAAACATGTTTTGCATTCTGATGAGCACACATCTCATTGCTGGGTATAATATAAATTATTACAACTTTTCTAAGTGCTAAGTAAGTTCCTTTTTTTTTTTTTTTTTTTTTTTTTGCAAAATAAGTTCTTGTGGACGAAGCTGGAGATGCTTCTCATTGATAGAGTGCTTGCCTAGCAGGTGCCTTGGGTTTGATCCCCAACAACACAAAAAATAAACACTTTGGTTTACGACATTGCATTCATTTATCTGTATTTCAAGTATTGCTGAGGCTGGCCTCAGTCTCCTAGGCTAAGCAATCTTCCAGCCTCAGCCTCCTGAGTAGCTGGGACTGTAGACATACCACACCAAGTCCTCCATGCTGACTGGCTTATGTTGAGTTTATTAATATTTTCGAAATTGTGGAGGTTTTTTTATAACCCAGGCTGGGCTCACTCTTAGTCGTCCTGCTGGGACTACAGGCATGTACCACTGTTGTAGTCAGGGGCTGTGAAGAGAACAATTCCAATCAGTACACAGAATTTATGATATTATTTTGTGATGGTTACCCAGAATTAAACACAAGAAACTGTAGGAAATCTGTCCACAACACTGAAGACTCAGAATATTCAGCCAAGGGTCTGGATCCTACAATAATGTCCTTCATGAGTCCAGATAAAGACCTAGAGCCCATGAAAGTGCCTCCCACGAGTCCATCTAGAGGTCTAGAGCCCATGAGAAGATCTCACCCCAGTCTATTTTACAGATCCGTGCTGGGAAGGCCGAAAGGTCAGTAGTGGGAGCTAGAAAGTCTATGCCAGCAGGGTGAAAGAGTTCTGAGTAGGTTAAGGGTTCTACACTGGAGACGAGAAGGCACACCCATAGTAAGGACCAAGGCTGCCCTGAAAAGTACCACAGCCACCCTCAGTGACATGGAGGTCCTGAGCTCCTCCAACAATGAGAACAGTCTAGTACCTGCCAGAAAGCCAGCATGACAAGCTTCTCCTGGAGATTAAACAGGACAAATCAACCCCTCCAGAGCCACGATGCTCAATGCTCGATGTAAGGACAAAACTCCCCCAAAGTGAACTGCAGCCACTCACACCAACAATGCCCTCAGCTCCTCTGATACTATTGATCAAACTCACACTGGGGAAGCTAGTCATGAGAAAATCCTCCAGGATAGCCAGTGGCTCAAAACAGTAACACTTACAAGAACCCACAGTGCCTCATTCTTCCTCTCCACATCTCTATTTATGCTGGTAACTTTCCTCAGGTGGAACATCTATGCTCAGCACCAGGCTTATTTAATTCAGCTGGTATTAAGTTGACCACCAGTGTTTAATCCATAACAACCACCATGGCTGGCTTCACAGAAGTTTTGAAAGAGCTGTGTTTCGGGATTTCTTCTACTTATAACTTTTGAAATTGACCCACTGATTTTTCATATAATTTCAAATAATTTGCTGTTAATTACTAAGCTTTTTTCAATTTTATGTTTGCAGTTTATGTTTTTAGTTATTTGCTTTATGTAGTTACTGATACAAATTTGAATCTCAAGATAATTCTTTCTGTGTTCTTACCTTAAATAGCATATTAGATTTATTTTTTTAATTTATTTCGTGGTGTTGGGAATTAAATCCAGAATCTTATATGCACCGAGCACAGGCTGTCCCACTCCGCTGCATTCCCAAGCTTCCTTGCTATCTGGCACAACAAAAAGGGAGATGAGCATGTTTTCCCTTTGTACTCTATTGGTGTAGGTAAGTTTTTGCCATTTCACTTCTTAATATAACCTGCAACAAAGTGGCAAACCAAACCAGTACTGTTTCTTTACAGCAGATAGAATAAGGACTGTGTTGTGTGAAAGAGACCAAAATGAAAACAAACTTTTTCATCTTGTCACCTTTCAAGCAGATCCAGCTGTAATAAAATGGAAACTAATTTCAGTGCTGAGCATCTTAAAATGCTAGAACACAGTGCACTGGAAAGGAGAGCTATGAAAGATGCCTTTGTTAGGCTTCTTATTTCCTTGACCCTGTGTTATCTATTGTAACAGTGTGTCATTTCCTCTAAAAGAGTTTAACTTACAGAATCTAAGCTTTTTAACTAAGGAAGTAAACAAGATTTAGACTGTGTTCAAGAACTTCATTTGCGTTTCTGGAAATTAAGTTAGTCTGCTTTTGCAGAGTTTTAGAAAAATTTATTGAGATGGGAATCACAGGATTCCTCAGTTTGCGTATGTGTCTTTAAATTCATAAATGCAGCTGTCAACTTCACTAACAATCACATGGAAAAGTATGTTTTTCAAGGTGATTTTATTTTTTTATTCATATATGTTTACCGCATATAATGTTCACATTCATCATGGGAATCTGCACGTGTACATGATATGTCTAAATTTTTTCCAGCCCATCTCCTCTCTTCAACCCCTTCCCTCCCCACTTCTAAAAGCTTTGTTTTCATTTTTGCCTTTCTTTCTTTTTGTTAATTCCTTTTCCCTTCTCTTCTTCCTTCCCCCTGTTTGTTTCCTTTATTTGAACAAGTTCTTCTTACTTCCCAGTATCTGTTCTCCTTTTTGCTACTTCTTTACCTATTGGGTTTCTCACACAAGAGAAGCAATGCAATATTTAAACTTGTGTGTGTAATTTATTTCACTTAACATAATCCATTTTGTTAAAAATGTCTCAACTTTATCCTTCTTTGTGGCAGAGTAGTACTCCATTGTGTATAAATAGTTACATTTTGTTTATCCATTCATATTTTGATGGTTGTTTTTAAGATTTAGCTATTATTAAGCTGCTACAAGCATGATTAGGCGTGTATCACTGTGGTATGATGCTTTTAACTCTTTTGGGAAGATAGTACACTTAGAAGGGGAACAGCTGGGACTAATGGAGTCTCCAGTAGTCTTTTGAAGAATCTCCATACTGTTCTCCATAGTGATTGTACCAATTTACACTCCCACAAGAGTGGAAAAGGGTTCGTTTCCCCCACAGCCTCCCTAGCATTTGTCAAAAGTGAATCATCAGATTACTAATGCACAGATGATGTGATGATTCATGGTGGTAAAATACCTGCTTTTGTGACAGAAGAGTGGTATGGATGATGGTGGTGACGGCGGTTTCTTTTTTTTTTTTTTTTAATTTTTATTTAAAGAGAAAAAAAACAAAAAAGTAAAAAGGTACAGGTAAGACAGAATTTCAAAAAATAAACAGTAAGAAATCACTAGTTAATAGATTACATATTATCATCTTAAAAATAATTGTTCAAGTTACAAAATTAAAGCATACAAAGTGGACATTGAAACAGTGAGACTGCAAACAGTTGTGTTCAATGATCCAGCAAAAACTTAGTAATATGGTTATCTGTCTTACACACTTAAATATACATGCAGTTATGTCCTTTAGAGCACTTTCTTTTCCTCTCTTTTTTACAGTGACAATTACACATTTTAGATTTTATTACTCCCACAGTTCTTATTACTTTTTTTTTAAGAGAATAAAACCAAATGTGACAAAATAAAACAGAGTCAGTCAAAACAAAAAGATGGACATAGTACATGATATAAAAACAATACCAGGTGATCAACAATGGTTACCATAATGCCTCTTGCTATCTTAAAAAGAATTGCCTATATCATCAGTTGTAATAAAATTCAACAAGAACAGTACAGAACAAAACCAATAAAACCGAAACTTTGGAGATATTACAGGGCTTCAAAAGATAATAGTCAAACCAGAATGGGCATCATAATGAATCTTACTGCCTTCAAAGTAGTTGCCTGCACCCTCAAACTTGATACTATCAAACAGAGCAGAATAGAGTAAAATCAGTCAGAACAAGATGGTGAGAGCAATACAGGGGTTCAAATCAAGTTAATAGGAAATCAAAAAAGTTACTATAATATATCCTGCTATTTTTTATTTTTCCCTTATTTAAAAAAATAATTTTTTTTAAAAAGGGAGATTGAGATAAAAGAGGTATAACAACATAACATCACAGGTCAGAACAGAACAATCTAAGCAACACAGTGTTTCACCACAAGATAACCCGACATAATAGTAATTACCATAGTGTCTCTTTCCTTGAAATATTCAAATATAACTTCGTATACTGTAGCATCAAACATATCAAGACAGTGTGAAACCATTCAAGAGCATGAAAGCATCACAGGGCATCCAGAACCAGCCAACAGAAAACAAACAATGGTTTCCACACTACTCCTTTGCCTATAAAAAAATTCTGTCTACACTATCACATACAACAAAATCTAACAAGATATAGCATGATAAAACCAATGGAGACAGAAGAACAACAGCTTGATGGGACTTCAAAACAAGATGATATCAAATCAGCACTAGATGGTGATTTCTTGATAGCTCTTCTTTCTGAAGTGAGAGGGACTCTCCCTGTTGTAATTTGCATTTCTTAAATAATAGTGATGTTGAACACTTTTTATGTATTTATTTGTTTGTCCTTGCTCATCTGAGAAGTATCCTTTCATTTCAGGTACCAGTTTTTTTATTAGGTCTCTAAATTTAAGGGTTCTGATTTTTTTTAATTTTTATATATTCTTGATAGAAGCCCTCTGTCTGAGAAGTAGCTGGTAAGAACCTTTTCCCAGTCCGAATTACGTCTTCACTCTGTTGGAGGTTTCTTTCACTGTTAGGCAGTGATTCTAAATGATAAAATCCTTAGGAGAAAATCTTCACCCTACACCTATCCCCTGTTCTCAGGATTGAACCCAGGGCCTTTGCACTGTCCTCAGCTCTTTGTTATTTTAAGGCAAGGTCTGAGCTCAAACTTGCCATCTCCTGCCTCCCTTTCCTGAGACATGGAACAAATGTAAACTGCCACTCTCTATTTTTGCCAGTCCTTTTAAAAAAAAAAAATTGATATGTTTGTTGTACATGATTACATTCATGGTGGGGAACTGGCTCCTGTACATGACATATCTTAATTCTTTTTTTTTTTTTTAAAGTTTTCCTGCCCTCCCTCCCCTGCCAGCTATTTTTCAAAAAATAACTCATTCTTTCTTTTCTGTTTCCACTCCTTATTTACAAGTAAGACTGGGTCCAGCAGGCCTGTCCTGTACTTTTCTACTGTAAATTTAGGCTAATACTAACCAGCTATGTGTCTCAGTACCTTTCCCTGTGGGGATACAGGAAGCAGTCTATGTGTTTATTCATTTAATGTGAGATGTAAGGTGCGTGCACATGTACAAAAGTGGCAAAATGGAAATTTTCCCCACCTCGTGCCATCTAACTGGTTTTGAGTATCTTTACCCAAGCATTACAGAGGGTCCAGTAGACCCACACCACCGTAGGATTTGTTTTTTAAAAAAGAAAAGCTAGGGGCTGGGGTGGCATAAGCGCCTGCCTTGCAAGCAGGCAGTCGTGAGTTCAATCCCTGGTACCGATAAAAAATAAAATAAAATAATAAAAAGAAAAGAAAAGCTTTTCTTTTGATTTTTTTTTTCTTTTCTGGTAAAAGTAACCCAATTCAATACAACAGCACATGAAAAATCAAATTTGTAAGCCGGGCGTGGTAGCTCAAGCCTGTAATCCCAGCACTCAGGAGGCTGAGGCAGGAGGATCGTTGCGAGTTCGAGACCAGTCTCAGCTACAAAGTGAGCTCAAGGCCAGCCTGAACTGCACAAAGACCCTGTCTCATAAAGACAAAAAGAAAAAGAAAAATCAAATTTGCAAGTTTTGGAGGTATCCAGAGTGAATCATCAGATCACTCATGCATGGATGATAAAAATGACTCATAATGCTAAAATATATGCTTTTATAACAGAAGAATCATATAAGTAAATGATGACAACACCGATGACAACTTTGACATTAGCCATGTGAGCCAAAGTTCCTGTGACAGTGACATGGAGTAAAAATCAACTGGTACAGACACACGGAAATGCAGACCACTTTGATTCAGATGATAAAGAAAGCAGTAATGTGAGTACACAAATGAAGCAGTCTGATGTTAGAACTAGGTCCAAAAATATACTGAGGGTCTTTACAGGGGCGAAAGATATTGGACAGGATGCCAGCACTACCATTCAGTGTTAGAAATTGTAACAGACAAAATGCAACAAGATGTGAAATACACAAATACTGAAAGGCAAGTAAAAGGTTCTGTCTGCACCAACAGCTATATTCAAAAGGTATTTACTGTGATACTGCACTAGCTAAACAGAAAACATCCATAGGTCAACTGTATTCAGCAGAGATTTCTCATGGTGATCACAGGAATGTGAAAGACTTACAGAAAAGTGATGGGTCAAAATACGACATAAAATTTTATGCCCTTATAGTTGCAAAAACTTACTATCTTTCAGCTTAAACATTTGTCCAGCCATCAGATCATTGTGTGTGTGTGTGTGTGTGTGTGTGTGTGTATGATACCTGGAATCAAACTCATGACCTTGCACTTGGCAGGCAGGTGCTTATGCCCTGAGCTAAGTCCCCAGTCCTCCGTCAGATCCTTATATGTATAGTAATAAACTAAATGATGTTGTAAGCAGGCTTATTGCTCCCTTCTCCAAAACTAATCAGAATGTGGCATTCAATAATTGGTTTACTGGTTTCCAGTTGATGTTACATTTGCTAACAAAACACAACCAGGGGGCTGGGGATTTAGCTCAGTGGCATAAGCGCCTGCCTTGCAAGCAGGCAGTCGTGGGTTTGATCCCTGGTACCGAT